ACCTACAACTTGGCGGAACAAAACAAGATTCTGCTTTACTGAATAATGGACAGTCATCGATGAATGAGCCAGAGTCAAAAACTATGGCAAGTTGAGGGATCCTTAGGACAAGGTCTGGGAGAGTCAGGGGCTATTGGATGCTTGCTTTATTTTTCACAGTCCAGGATTGCTATGTGATACGACCGCGAGAGAGAAAAGGAAACTGGGCCAGAGGATTACAGCACAGGGAGGATTTGGGTTTAATAGGATTTTATTAGGCTCTAAGCAGAGGTTGTCTGAGGTAGTTTGACCCACACTGAATCCCCCTCCCCCCACTGCTATTACTTATAATTGAGGGCAGAAGTTTCCTCTCTCTTTAGGTGTTCCCAGTATTTGAAGAGTCTTCACCCTAGATGGAATTTTATATGATAAGCACATTTACAGTAATAGACTTTTTATGTATTTAGTAGCAGCCTATTCAGGGCATTCCAAAGTGCATTCTAAAACAATGAGTTCTTCTACAGGCAATTGCTCAGGAAACAAACAAAGAAACAAACAAACTGTGAATTATATTCAAGATGGTTGATTCCTGTGCTTTGGGTTCTTTAAGTGAAATATGCTTTAATTGTTAAAAAGAATACAGATCGGATCCATGTATAACTAGAATTCTTACAAAGATTTTTGTACAGTGGCCATTATTCTTCTTCAAAGCTTATCTTCTTACCCCTCCTCAATTAGTACAACAGTTGGAATATAGTACAGAAAATAATGACTTTTGAGCTGGAGGAGACCTGAGAAATACCATGTAGTCCTAACTCACCTAAGTGAGGTTCTGAACCAAGGTCCCTGTTTTCCACTCAAGGTCTCACAGCTGGGTAGAGCCTTGGGGCCGTGTCCCAGTTCAGAGCTTGTCCCAGTTCAGAGCTCAGGTCCCCAAGAGGCGACTTGACGTTTTGTGACTTCCACACTTGGACACCTGAACTAAAAACTCTTAGCCCTTACCCTTGGTTCCCCACTTTAAATCCACCTAATCTTGCCAACCATTTCCACAAACCAACCAGAGAAGTATGAGGAGGGAAGAAGGAGAAATGGGAAGGAAGTCTGCCATGTCTTTTCATCAAGTTCAAGAGATTGCTTCTGATATGACAACTCACTGTGGAAAGACCCCACATGGTTTCTCTTTTATCTCTAGGCCTCTCCTTGCTGTGTTGTTGACCTTGCCTTTCCTCTGCTCCTGTTGCTCTACCAAAATCCTTTAAAAAAAAATATCCATCCATCCATCCATCCATCCATCCATCCATCCATCCATCCTATCCATCCATCCATCATCTTCAAATTCTCTGTGTTCATTGGTTCCTTCCCATTAGGCCTGCAAATATGATCACTTTTTCCTTAATAAAAATGTTCCCTTGACTCTGTTTCCCCTTAAGGTGACCATCACTTCTTTTCCTTAAAGAATTTTTTATAATCCATTATTAGAGGATATTATATTTGAATAGATAAAAGAAGGATGGTATGAGATCGTATATCATTAAATGCCAAAATGTTTACACTGTAATTTCAGTATGATAGTGAAAGAGGGGTATATTAAAATATAGTCATTTGTAGTTCAGGGGAAAAATGTGATTTTCACACATTTATAGCTTTCCTAAGTATTGTGGTTTTCAAAGGAGGCTGAAATTATCAAGATGTCTGTCTATTTGGAAATGAGGTTGCAGGAATTTTTATGGTAGAGGTATAATCTAGATGACTAGAATCTAAGCTTTTATGGTTATATAGTATATTTTATAATGTGATACGGAAGCATATGCGTGTGCTTTTTCTCATAGTCAAAAGATATCATGTACTTTCTATAAAAAGGCAAATAAGAATACATATCATTCTTATGTCAGTTATCTCTAGCTCCAACAATAATTTAATAACATTTTTCTTTACCTACTGATGAAAAATATTTTTGTATATATTATTAATGAAATACTATAAATTTGACTACACAATAGTCCGTTCTGTCCTTGCAATATAGAATCTGTGCCAGTGTATACATGGGTTTTGATAGCTCCTCCCCCATACCAAAAAAACTCAACAACCATACCACAAACCCACATGCAACCACTGTTGGACAGAGTCCTTTGGGTATTTTTTGGGGTTGGTGGTTCATTTGAAGAAAGAACAAAATCGCTCTGAATGGTTTACAGAGCTCTTTCTCAGGCATGAAATCCGAGTTGATGTGCATGTGGGTATTTACAGGAAGAACAGGCTGAATATATGGCAAGAGTGTTCCTCTGAGCAGTCCCACTGCTGGGTATGTTAGGCTGAAGAGAGCGGAGGGTAAGAACGGGGGAAATGTCCCAACAATGCCATATGCATGACTCAAGCACACATTCTGGTGACTGCAGCCTTTTACCTGCTCCTGGCTTTTTGCTAAGTTTTGTCCTGCTCTGTTCTTCACTTGGGACTTTTAGCTGTGCTCTGAGAGTTAAATAAAAAGCTTGGAATGGAAAAATGCAAAAAAGGAAGAAAGTCAAGCCTGAGAACAGGCAAATGCAGGAATGTATTGGAAACCTCGGCACTTGAGGAAAGGCGCCCTTCTATGTCTCTCATAAATATGGAGCCATCTCTTCTTGTAGTTTTATATTGCCCTGGGGACATGCTAGTGCTTTAATACTCTAACATGGGAATAAGAGAGAAAGAGAGTGGAAATATCCAGCTCTTTTGTCTCTGGGTGTATTCGGAAGTATTTTCATTTATAGAATCTTCTGGCATAGTGTTTCCTTCTTAAATGTGGCTTGCTCGACTTGCCTGTGTTTAGATTCTTCAGGCATCTGCTTCAAAAGTATGATTGGATAAACATCATCCAAGTGAGATGCACTTTTCTCAGAGAAGATACAGCTTCCTTAAGGGAATAGGGCCAGGGATTATAGCCAGGAGAAAGGAGAATAAAGATTTCTAGAAGGAACCCTGGACTGGGAATCAAGAGACTTACATTCCATTTCCATCAAAACTAACTTGTAGTTTACGACCTTAGCTAAGAGATTTATCTTGTCTGTAATGCAGTCTCGCTATCTGCAAAGATTGCCTGCGAAGTCCCTTTGAGAATGAACTTAACAGACCTTAGAGAGCATGTTTCTAATTTTCATTTAGAAGCAACTGGCATGTTGAATGTTCCCCTCATATGTTTGAAGACGAATCTGAGAATCCTTGAGCTGGAAGGAGTCTCATACTTTTTGAACCTCTGGGATAAACCAAAACACTCTGATTTTCCTCATTATGATCGTTACATCATCTGAATAAAAGACATTTTCACAGAAGTCCTATGTTAAAGACAATGAGGGAGTTGAATCAGAACTTGGTTTATGTCTTATCACTTAAAACAGATCTGTACGCTGAGATGATACCTCTGAGGACCAGCCTGGTAACCAAAAGTGAGGTGAAGAGGCTGGCTGTAGGATACTGGGGAGTGGCCGGGACCTCGGAGATGGGGGCCACATACCCTGTGTGGGGGGCGGGGCACGTGGGCCCGGTAAAACATGCCTCTCAGTGGAGAGGGTCATTGCTGGCAGTGGACAATGTCTTATTGAAAACAATAAATTTGGAATTATTAGGAATTACATGTCAGGGAATTCACCAACTTGAATAATAAAATATGGTCATGGAAGATACACACAAGCTGTTTCCCTCAGGTTTGTAATTTGTGTGAGCCTCCCTCAAACAGGCCTTCCTCTTTCTACATACTTTCACCCTCTTCCATTCTCCCTAAAAATGTTTCCTTTCCTCAGAATGATCAATTCTAACCAGTTTCTGTTATGTCCTACCATTTTTTCAAGATATGAATGTCGAATGGTTCGCCTGCCACCCCCAGCAGAATATTCCTTAACGATTTTCTAGTGTTTAATTTCACTCCCCACAAAGAACTTGACCCATAAGTCTAACCTGAATCCTTACCTTAAGCCCCCTTTCTCACATTTTATTGTTTGTAGGAGGAACAGTTGACCAGTGTTCTCCTCATAATGCCCTTCATACTACTCAGTTGAAAAATCGGGGTTTTTTTTGGCACTACAAATCTGGAAATTTTATCATGGATTATGTTTTCCAGTGCACTAATAATTATCGTGTAATCACTTTACCCCAAACTCTCTCCAGTCTGTATGCTGAAAAAAAAAAAAAAAAAAGTATTTTGAACTGGACCCAGTCCTTTTTGTGGGCTGAGCACACGGGAGATACTGCCACTATTTTATTGCTTCTCTCTGCGAGTCAGCCCCACGCAACTGGATCATAGTCGCTGTATGCTCTATGACCTCAGTATCTTTTTTCTCCCTACTGGCTCTGTGGTAGTTGGACTTTCTTCATATTTTGTCCACATAATTCATTTTTCATTTGTAAGTGTGCTACCTTGTACTCACACCGAGTAAGCACTATCTTGTTTTTGATGGATCATTTCTGTCTCTGATTTGTCAAGGTTACTTGGAATTCTATTATTTTTCAGAAAAGCCAGAAACCTTAACTTGGTTTGTAGCTATGAAATGACTGAGAATGCTTTCAATTCCATTATGACGGTCATTGATTAAAAAAAAAAATTCAACCATATCAGACCCAGGAGTCTGGGTGCTGTTTTATACCTACCCCGAGTTGCATCAGGGCATTTATTTCTGTCACTGTTAACTAATGGTTTTCCTGTTTCTGGATGCTTTTAAATTCCACAAACATTGGTATCATAGTTTCTTGCTCGGTTATAGAAACAATTTGAATGATTAGACTTATTATCTAGGGGGTTGTGGTTGATGGTAGTGAAGAAAATAAACCCAATAATTATTTAATTTATGCATATCGCTTTGGTAGTATCATTATTTTATATTTTTTAGTAGCAAGGTAAGAGCAAATGGGGGGGCCTGTAGATTGGGTAGAAATGTCTATTTTGTAGATGTTTTTGTTCTGTGTAGGACTTCAAGACTGTCTGTGCTTTGATTTAAATTCAGTGGCCAGTGTCCTATTTATTTAATATGTGAACATAACGAGGTGCATTTTTATTATTGTCATTACAGGTTTCGGAAGATGACAGTGAAATGTGAAGAAGTTACATTTCTTATGTGATACTTCAAAGTTAGTGACTGCTTGCCGAATTTTCCCGAAAATTAAATATGACTTAGAAGCACTGATTTACGAAGGTTTATGATGTCATCGGTTACAACGGAAAACAAACTCCCACAGGCCGTGAGCCTGCAGGGAGTTGACCCAGAAACATGCATGATTGTATTTAAAAACCACTGGGCGCAGGTAATGTATGTGTTGTACTTTTCTCTGCTGGTCTAGGTAGCTCTCGAGGCCTCTATCCCATTGAACCAGGGGTTTCCTACCTCTGTGACAGTGACTAGGCTTCCAGAAACATAGGGAGCAAAACCCTTGCAGATAGGAAGAAAAGCAACTTTTTTTTTTTTTTTTTGCTTTCCTAGAATACATATCTGGTTGAAAACCATGGTTTCCATAAAAGCAATTAGGGAACATGTATGTTCCTCAGATATTTTTGGAAGAACAGCCGTTGGCCTGAAAGGGACTTTGACATCTCATTGCAATAGACTTGACCAGGATTAGAGTCTCTTTCCCTCCTCCCTGCTGATTTCCATCTAGTCCTTACACTCTTAACAGCGCTAAAATACACATTTATTAAATATTTACCAAGTGCTGTGCTGAGTACCTCAAAAGCCTTATGTCATTTACTCTTCTCCACAAACCCATAAGGCCATTAGTGTTAGCTTCCTCATTTTACAGATGAGGGAATGGAAGATTAGAGATGTGGAGTAACTCGCTTGAGGTTATACAGATAGTGAGTTTCCAAGCAAGTACATGGTAGACCTTAGTTCCTTGACTTGTGATTTGACCTCTGTGCTCTTCCATTTTTCGGGCTGGTGGTCCCTACGTAATTTAAGGAAAGAAGATGCCTGGCAGTATCTGAATTCATTACAAAGCTGATTATAAAAGTTTTTTTGATTATTCAGTTGACTTCTCTGTAACTCTGATCTGCTTGTATAGATAATTACGGGTTGAATGTTAAGAAAATTTATCAGCTCACCACTTTCCTCAGGGAGTTTACAAGTAGTAAAATAAATAAAATTGGCCTTCTTTACTACTTGTCCAACATTACACTCCCTAGGTGAGCTGGTAAGTGGCTATTTATGTGACAGTTTTTTAATGACTACCCAGTTCCTTCCTGTGGCCGGAAACAGCAGAGGGGTTAAAGCCTTGAGCCTGCAAATCACAGCAATTATGGGGGACACAGTTTAGATCAAAAACAAAATCAATTCTGCTTCTGGGTCATTTGCACTTTGTAGCTTCTTGTCACTAGTGTAAAGCTTCCAAGATTTTTTATGCATTTCCCATTCTCTGACTTTTTGCTATTAGAATCTTAATGGGTTTGCTCTGGATTTTAAGGGCACATCTGCTTTAGCAAAGAGAGGAAAGTAATTCAGGAGTTTTTCAAATAATTAGAGTAATTATCTTTGACTTTGCACTTTTATAAGTATTTTAACGTGCTGGCTCCAAAGTGGGGTTGTGAACCGTAAGGGGTGTGCCTGTTAGTCCATTGGGTGTGGGAAGAATATTTTAGAAGGCCTATTTTTATCTTTATCTTTTGAAAATGTCTATTTTGTGTTTATAAAGTACGTAATATAGTCACATATTAGTATGTGCACGTTTATTATTGTATCTAATAATTATTTGCGCTCCTCTTTTTTTTAACTGGTAGGAGTGCTCTGTCAGATGTTTTATATTGAGAATACTTCCAGCCTTAGTCATTTCATTTGGCTGAAAAAGCCCATCATTCTAATACACACTCTTGGCCCTGGGCCCATTTTGTTTATTTGTATAAAAATACTTTTGATTGTAGCATTCCTGGTGGAGAATCTGATGGGATCCCTTCAGTATTCTGTATCAGTCTTCAAAGACAGGATATATCATCAACCTCTTGATTTTATCCGGATGGATCATTTGCCCTGTCAGATGCCATCCCGGGCAAGCTTCCTCCAAAGCTGTTGGAGTGCTGCTAGAGAGTCTTACTTCAGGAATGTGTAAATACTCTTTCCCACTGGTGAAGGAGTAAATATTGGTCCCAGAATCATATTACTCATTTCCATATCCAATATGAATGACTTCGGCATCATTAAACATTTTGGGTGATCTGAAGCATGGCACCTTTTGTTGAGTACAGAAAAATACTGAGTTGAGGGTAAGGATAACTTTGTCAGAGGGAATGGTGTTCAGTTATTAAACACTTCCTTTTGTAAAGTGGAGACACTCTTGGTCTTAACTCCTCTTTCAACCATTTCTTTACCTTGCTTTCCTCTTTAGACTTGACTTTTCCTTTTAAGTAAATCTGCAGAGTGCCCGCAGTCTCTGTCTACTTCCAAGAAAGGCTCTTGTGGGCCTTTCGGTTGCTTTATGAATAAAAATACTGGTTGAAGAAATGCATGTGGATGTCAACACAATTATAGTTAAATGGAGGTTTACTAGCCCCAACTATGGATTCATCATTGTAGGCTGCACGGGTGGGACATGGGGATGTGTCAGCCTTGGGAGAACAGGGTCTGGGCTTTTAAAGAATGTATGCGTTAATTTGGAGGATGAGGTGAGATACATTATTAGAAAATGAATAATAATGATTATAGGAATTAAGTCAAAGGAAGGGACTATTATGCGTGAAAATGGCTTGGGAAATGGAGGAATGAGATTTGGCTAGCTTAACTACAGGAAAGGAGGTTTGTTTGTTTTTTTTTTCTTAAGGTTTTATTTATTTGAGAGAGAGAGCGCACATGAGAGGGGGCAGGGTCAGAGGGAGAAGCAGACTCCCCGCTGAGCAGGGAGCCCGATGCGGGACTCGATCCCGGGACTCCAGGATCATGACCTGAGCCGAAGGCAGTCGCTTAACCAGCTGGGCCACCCAGGTGCCCCTGGGAAAGGAAGACTTTGATGACAAAGGAAAAGAACGTTTTAGAGAAGGGGTTTTGGGAAGGAATGCTCAGTGTTGGCCTTTTTTCGGTGGTAAGAAAAGAAAGGTGAGGAAGTGGGCACCTGGGTGGCTCAGTCGGTTAAGCGTCTGCCTTCGGCTCAGGTCATGATCCCGGAGTCCTGGGATCGAGTCCTGCATCGGGCTCCCTCCTCCTTGGGAGCCTGCTTCTCTCTCTGCCTCTCTCACTCTCTCTGTCTCTCATGAATAAATAAATAAAATCTTTAAAAAAAAAAAAGAAAAAAGAAGAAAGGTGAGGAAGTCAGGGCAAAGCGGAGATGCAGGGCTACAAGTGAGGTAAGGCCTGGGACCTTCAGTTGATAGGAATTAATGATTCTCACTGTTTCGGAGGTTTATACATTAGCTCTTGGCCATGAGTCATGCAGGCTGGGGGCGCATGCAGAACGGTTAAAGTCAGACATAAACTCCTGTGACTGGTGTGATGGCAGCCCCTGGGTTCCCCTGAGGCAACCCGAGGAAACCTGTAAGGCTGGCAAGAAATGTGGCCTAGTCAGAACCGGGTGACAGCATTGTATTTCCTGAAGTGTCCTATTAGCTGGCAAGCACAATGCTTTTTTTAATATGTTAAACTAGGGGAAATGAAGTCAACAGAAGTCTGTGGTATCCGCAGTTCTGTTTGTTAGGATACTTCAGTACAAATTCAGCATAATTAACATATATTGGACAGGTTCTGTTCCGCTGTTTACTAGTAGCTTCTGTTCCAGACCTTGACTTCAAAAAGCAAACTTTGATGGAGGAGGATATCCGCTTGCCCACCTACACCTTGCAGTGTGTCAGGGACAGCTTGTTATACAACCAGCCGTCATCCAAGGCAGTCTGTGACTCTGGAGGCTCGCCAGCAGAGAGACCTTGAACGGCCTCGTCGTGCACTTGAGTTTCCAAATTGTTCCCTGGGACCAGTGATCTCATGACATCCCCAGATTCTCTAGTGGACATTCAGGAATAGTTACATTCCTAACAGAGACCCCAGAGAACCCAAGCTATAGGATTCCGATAGCCTGGATGCCGGCCTGTACTTTCTGAGATGCCATCTCGCACTGTGAAGTTGTCAGAGCAGCGTGTTGAAAACCCAGGATTGTTTTTCTAGTTGGACATTTCAGCGGCATCTGGGCACCTACAGGCCAGGATGGCACATAGGGTCTTTATTTCACTCCTTATCTCTGATTTAATCTCCAGCAATGCAACATCACTTGGAGTTCCTAGCCAGCCCCACTCCTAGGCAACGCCCGGCAGGCTATTTCAGGGTTCTCTGCCTTAGGCATTTCCTCCTCTTCCTGCCCGGAATATCCCTCCCTCTGGTTAAATGTCTCTCTTTCTTAAGGACTCATTTGGGACATCAGTTCTTCTAGGAAACCTTCCGTGCTCCCTCTTACGTTTCCACTCTCTGCTCCAACAGCATCCGGAGGGTTCTTTTGCTGTTAGACCAACCACGTTCTATTAAAATTACATGTACAGTAGCTTCTTCCCAACCTCATTTCAAGCTCCTCATGGTCAGAGACCATTTGTAGTTTACCTACATCTCCAGTGCCAAGAATATCATAAGCCTATTGTAGATGTCCAATAATTTTTGAACCGAGAGACGAGAAATATGACATACAACTTTAGAAGAGCTAGGTGACTTAGAAAACAGCTTTGAACATACACTAATATTAAAACATTCTATAGTTTTCTAGTAAGATCTTTGGACTTGAATTTAATGATAAGCGATTCGGGGGGGAGTGAGTGGGTGTTTAATTTTCCTATTAGTCTCTAAGAACAGTTTATAGTCTAGTGGACTATTGTTTTTATCTCTTGCCTTTGCTTCTTCTGAATGGAAGAGAGAGCAAGAAGTAAGAAGTACTGGTCCACCAGATCATAAACTATTCAACTATATTGCCATGTGAATTAACCTGCCCACACACTAGTTTTTTGCAATGGCAGAGTACTTTGTGAGGCTTCATGCATCTTGCTTTATTCATTCTCTGTCCTCTCCTTTTAAGAATTGAATCAGGATTGGCTACATACTCAATGGTGTCTGTTCTTAGAGCCAGAAAAACAGAGGTGATGGGTTAAAAATAAAATAAATTGGGGGGGGGCACCTGGGTGCCTCCATCAGTTAAGCATCTGACTCTTGATTTTGGCCCAGGTCATGATCTCAGGGTCCTGGGATCAAGCCCCACGTGGGGCTCTGCCCTCAGCAGGGAGTCTGCCTGAGATTCTCTCTCTCCCTTTCCCTCTTCCCCTCCCCACCCCTCAAATAAAAATAAATAAATCTTAA